TTTACGACTGGGTGAATCAGGGTCACTTAACCTGATTTACCCAGATGCAAACAGTATATAATTCATGTATTTAACATAATATATTTTATCCAGATTTGGTCCTTATTTATTCCCTGGCTATATAAACCATGTTGTTGTTGTTTGCCATCAAGTCAATTCTGACTCATAGAGACCCTATAGCACAGAGTAGAACTGCCCCATAGGGTTTCATAGGCGTAATCTTTAAGGGAGCAGATTACCACATCTTTCTTCTGTGGAGTGGCTGGTGGGTTCGAACTGGTAGACCTTTCGGTTAGCACTTGACTACTGCATCACCAAGGTTCTTTGATAAGTAAACTTAGGCAATTCCAATTCATTGACTGTCAATTTTTTATAGGTAAAATAAAGGCATTACGAATGATTATGAAAAAAATTCCATCCAACTTTAAAATTCTATGGATCTCTGAATCTAATGCTGAAATCTGCAAAGTTTAGTTTTTACTGAGATTGTTGTGATAAAAGTGAATGGCCCTTTTAAAAGGCAGCTTCTCTATTACCTGATAATTCAACTTAGAGATACTTATCATAAAAAATTTGTGAAGATCACTATACTTTATCTACAAGGGTATTTATCTACATGGATATAAACAAATATCACAACATTTATTATAATGACAAAAATTAGAAAAAGTTTAACTGACAAATAAAAAGTTAATTAAGTTAATTATAATATATGTGCATATGGACAATATCATACAGCTATTAAAAAAAGTATGCTATAAAAGAAACAGATAGTAACATGGGAAATGATCACTGTTCGATGAAAAAAGCAGGTAACTAGTCAATAAGTATATATATCTACATACACATATATGTATGTATATATACACATGTCTTCATATATGCACATATATGTACACATATCTACACATATACATACACATATGAGCATACTCATATTCATACAGTATGTATACACACACATATATAGATGTATAACTATATTATTCAAATAATCCAAATAAGTAGTCTCATGAGTGCTGGGATTACCTGTGGTTTTTCTTTTTATACTTGGATTTATTGTATTTTCTAATTTTTCTGTAATGAACAGGTATTATTTATGATATTAAAAAAAAAGGAGCAATATTTTTTTCTGGTGATGGAATGGCCACATTTTTCTCTCTCATTCCTGGGAAGATTTTCAGACGTATCTACCTCTGCCCACCTCAGCTTCCCCTTTGCCTTGTGATGGGCATTTTTGAAATTCATATTGTCAATTAGTTAAGTGCAGAAAGAAAAAATCAAGCTCAGAAACATTATCAGAAAAACATTCTCATCAGCCTCTTCTCTAAAAAAAGTCCCATGTCAGATCTATGCTTGCATTGCCCACACTTTCCAGCTCACAGGCTCTGTTTGATACCAATCCCTCCACCAGAACACTTTCTTCCATTTCAGTCTTTTGAAATCTTGACCATCCTTCAAGGCTCAGCTCAAATACCTCCTCCTCTATCATGTCTTTGTATTTCTACAAAACAGTCTGATAGTCTCTCTCTTTTTCTAAAGTTCCACAGCAGTTAGTATTTCCTATAGCATTTACATTTTCTGCCCTTCATTGACAATGGAGTGTGTAAGATAAGGAGTGGTAAAGAAATGAGCGTGAGTAATAGAATATCCCATCTGAAAAGGGCAGTGATTTCTTAGCTCCAGCAAATTTCTCCCTCATGAGAATATGGGTCTAATGTTGCCAAGCCTTCCCGTATATCAAGAGAAACAAGAAATTCATATCTTCTTAATGTAAAAGTACCCAGTTTTTAAACAGTAGCTCATTAAAAAACTAAAACAAAATCACTGAGCAGACCAAACACACACACACACATATATATATACACTCATGCATCACTGTGAAATAGGACATTATGTGATTTGGACATTGTGCAAACACCATATTATATACATAGCAAAGCTATATGCAATAGTGTAGTGTAACAGTATTGACTAAATAGCCAAGATACTGTCCGTACTGCATTTCAGCTAATGTATCTCGCAAGGTAATGCATGGGTTAAGTAGGTTAAAATGCTACAACACTCAAGAGATGTGCAATACACAAGATTGGAGGCTGCTGCCTATGAGTTGAAGCATACACTGTTATTAGGTAAACTTTTTATTTGTAAGTAGGGAAAGTTCACATTAAAATAGCAACAGAAAGTATAGTACAGTAGATATGGAAGTCAGTAACATAGGCATTTATTATGACCATCAAGACATATGTATTATAGGTAACATATGTACTGTACCATAATACACCTGGCAGCGCAATCACTTTGTATACAAGAATTGTGAGATATACAAGTTGAGTGCAAGAAGCTGTTGTGTTCGCTACGTCTGGATATGTCTACTACATCCCATTCTCTGATTGGGATTTCTGAACTCTATTATAAAAATATGACACCACAGACATATATGAGGTCCGATGTTGCCTGAATGGGCATTATGCGGTACATGACTGTATTATGGAGCCTTAAAGAGCTCAGCTGCTAACCAAAAGGGTGGGCAGTTCAAATCCACCAACCGCTCCTCAGAAACCCTATGGGGCAGTTCTACTATATTCTATAGGGTTGCTATGAGTCGGAATCAACTCGACAGCAGTGGGTTTGGGTTTTTTTTTTTTTTTTTGCCTATATATGTATATGCAAACTGAATCTAGCCTGTGGGTCCAAGTTTGCAACCTCTCCTTAGAATTACATCTTCTACATCTCAATATCCCTTTATTACTTGGCACAGAGTTTTATTCATAATGGTTTTGCACATATTAGGTACTCAACTGTGTAAGCTTTTCTCTTGGTGGGTCAATAATCATAGGCTCCACATCAAAGATCCATCCTCTAATGTCAATGTTTAAAACGTGATGTGATGATGATCTTTCCAAAGAGTCTTCCAAAGGTAACATGGAAGAAAATTCTTTCTCTATGATCTAAAACAAGAACTCATCTTTTTTTTTCCTGTACTTTGTACTAACCCAAGAGCACTGTCAGCACTCAATAAATAATAAATTACAGTCATTTAATTACAGCTTTTATGCATCCAGGTCATGTTATATTGACTTCATATTTGCAGCAAATTTTCTACCACTTAAGGAGAAAACAGCAAGGGATAAAAGGCAAGCAAAAGCCAAGCAGTGGTCTAAGAAAGAAATGGCAATTTTTATGGCTGCCTCAGAAGAGCTGAATCAGGCAAGAAAAATAGAAATGAAACTAAGCCAGCTGAATACCTCATAGCAGGGAAGGGGAAGCAATGCAACAGCATCCTGGATCTATACCACTACCTCACTGTCATTCACCGAAAAGCATTACCTAACTGCCTTTGGCTCACCTGAGGAGGCACTTTCAGTGAGCGCAACAGAGATGACCTAATAAATGGTATGATCTCAAAGTCAGATAGCCAAGCAGAGGATCTAGTCTGGGGTCTTGAAAACCCCGAATGTAGGACTTTTCCATAGATTAGAGGGCATGACAAAGAGGGATATCAGCTGTAAACGATATTCCTCCACTGTGAGGAAAAAAAATAACACTGGTTCAAGACTACTAAGCTGGAACTGACTCCATTGGCACAGCCTTGAGGGAGGTAGAGTCTAACGATAGACGGTGCTGTCTTGATGGTGCTAGACTGTGGAGGGTCAACAATCAGTAGTCTACACGTATTGATGGAACACCTACCATGGGTCAAGCATAAACTAAGCACAGGGGTCAAGGCCTCTGCTTTCATAGAGCTTACATCGTAACAGAGGGAAACAGACAATAAAATTTAAAACTTTGAAAAAAGGAAATATTAAATAGTATGTCTTATGAAGGAAATAAAGCTGTGCATTGAAGTAGAGAGTGCCTAACGGTCAGAGAAGACCTCTAAGGAGGTGACATATTAGTTGAGACCTTGATGACAAGAAGGAATCAGCCATGTCAAATTCTAGGCAGCAGCACCCCTAGAGGAAACAGCTAGTGCCAACACAAGGCCCATCTTGACTGAGCTTCAAAAAGGAGACCAATGTTTTGGACTTCCCAAGCAAGGGCAAAAGTGATAGGAGATGAGCTCAGGGAGAAAGAAAGAAGCAGATCAAATAAGATACAGAGGGCCCTAGAAAGGGATTTCAAATATATTCTGAATGCTTGGGAAGTTCTTGAAGGATCGTAAACAAAGGAGTAGTATCACCCCCCTAGGTGATATTTCTCCAAGATGCCTAGAGCCAGTTTCATTTGCAGAAGAGGAAAGGTGCAAGCCTAGAGATGTGTTAGACTACAGAGTGACGATTGCTCTGTTGCTTTCCTCACTTTCCTCAACTTTGTGGGGATCCTGGGGTTGAGTACAGAGGGAGAGCTGGTATTGGAGTCAGCATAGCTGGTGTCCAGAGGAACCTGAGCTATTGTCACAGGAAAGGAAGGAACTTACCTCTGCCAGAATTTAGCCCCACCACTTGCCAAAATTCTGATCAGCAAACTCACAGGACCTTCCTGGAAACTTCCACAGTCTCCTGCTGTGTCTCTGCAGAGCTTTAATGAGTTTTATGAAGCAAGTACCGTACTTTGAATCCTTTTATCACCCAATATACTGCCCAGTGACTGATACATAATAATTGCCCAGGAGTTTGTTTAGTAAAGGTCAAAGGAATCAACAGGATGTGTAGTTGATACTCTCCATCTTGCCCTGTCTCTAGAAATGCCAGCAAGCTATATGAGAAGGGAGCCAACGATGGGTCAAAGATTTACTGAGTTCAGCATTTTAACTGACAGGTTAAGGTCCATAGCTTTAGCATCTAGGCAATCCTGTGCTGATGTTACTAGAACATTGTAAACCATGGTACTCAAGTCTGACCTCCACTGCATTATGACTGTACTCACTGGTCTCTATTTACTGATATAGAAAAGAAGAGATCTCATCCCCTAAAATGTGAGATATCTTCCTCTTGCCTGTATGTTTAAATGAGAACCCCAAAGGAATAATTTGATAAGAGAAAAATCAATATACTTACATATCCATATTCCAAATCCCAGCACCAGCAATAATTGCAAAACCTGACAAAACACGCCCTGAGAAAGTCCCCAATGAGGATTGTGACATAGGTGGTCAGAACATCAGAAACGGTCAGCCGCACGAATTCCTGGTGAGATATTATTTTTGTTAAAACGAATGTGCATTTCTCTCTTCAAACAGTCTTAATCTTGGCACCAATTATAAGTCTGAAGACTGCAATTAAGGGTAGAGAAACTACTAAGGCATATCTAACACAGAAAAACTGTTTTGCCCTGTTAGTAGTCAAAAAAATAATCATTTCCAATTCCAAAATCACTGTTATCAAAAGTCTTACTCTTACTGAGAAACTTTTACAAACTTGACACATGAACCAAAGACAGGAAAATATTGACCACACAAAAGTTTAAAAGTTTTATCTGGCAAATGGCACCATTGACAAAGTCGAAGACAAAAGACAAACCTGGAAAAAAAAAAAAATTGCAACATATGTGACAGGATTGACGTACCTAACACACAAAAAGCTTTTACAAATCAGCATGAAAATATATGGACAACCTAATATGTGGGAAAAATGGCATGAATAAGATATTCAAAGAAAATATACAGTAAATAAAAAGATTGGAAAAAATTAAACTCACACATGAAAAAGATGTAAGTAATAACAATGAGTTTCTGCCTCACACAATGATAACTACTTAAAAACCCATGCTTATTCACACTAGTAAAAGTATGGTGAAATAAGTCCCGTCATAACTGACTGGGGAAATTAAACCGGCACAACTCTTGGGGGAAATTGGTCCATATCCATCACCTTTTAAAGCATGTGAGATTTGATCAAGGATATCCACTTGGAGAAATTTATCGGACAGCAATATTCACACAAGTACATAAATCTATAGGTACAATATGAAAGTATTGCTTCTTCCAGGTAAAAATTGGAAACACTCCAAATATGCTCAAGAAAAGATTAATTAAATAAAAACAGAGTGTCCACAGAAGGGAATATTGTGAGTTCTGAAAGAAAGTGCTATTGAGGTGATGGGTACACTACTATCTGAATACACTAAAACCCGCTGAATTGCACACTTTACTTGGGTGAGTCGTATGGTATGAGAAGCATATCTTAATAAAACTGTTTTAAAAGTGCTAAAATGTTATGCTCTGATAGGAAATTTTTTTTTAGTTCATATGTGGTATGAACTCATTTGTTAAAAACCTATGTATATATACACACATGTATGTGCATAATATGTAGTGTATGTGCATAGACAATGTCTAGAAAATTAGAAATGCGTTACTTCATTTTTGGGCATCCAGGTGTGTCCTGTGGATTAGACAGGATAGTCATTATTCCTCAAGGAATTTGTATGACAACAGACAACAAATATAAAAATAGACATATAAATTTCAATCATGATAGTTCAGTTCTGCTCTTCCCTTTCCGTCCGTTCTTAATAATTCGTGTCCAAAGAATAAGACACTGAACATCTAATAAAACGTATTTTGCCAGAAATACTAGGGCTTTTCCGTAATGTGAGAATTCTTCTCATTTTTATGTCTAGCTACCGATATAGCCTTCTCTCGAAAATAAGTAGTGAGAAAGAATTATCTTCTGGGAAAGAAGACCAATTGCCTAGAAGCCGGTAGCTTCATTTCCAGCCTCACACTTCAGAACGGTGATCGTAACCTCCAGATAGCCAGGTACTACCTTCGTGATTCTTACCATTTCCAAGTGCAATCTGAAATATTATTTATCTAATATTTCATAAACTTGAATATACTTCATTTGTAAAAGATAATTTTACTGTTGTAAATGGAAAGCATATATCGTCTGGCATAAATAGATGTTAAAAGTAAAATAAATACAATAAAAACATAAAAGTTATTAAATTGAGAAATTAAAAAATAACCATTGCCTTAGTTTTGGCTCCCACCAAAGGTAGCGCCTGTGACAAGGGCTTATAAGCAGGTAGTATATTTTGGGAAGTGATCTCAAAGAACAGGAGTGGGGATTGGGAAGAATGAAAGAGGGAAGCAGAAAAACCCCTTTGCCAAGGGTGTGACAAAGGGCTGTCGCTGCTGGGGCAAGTGGGTCTTGATCTTTCTGGTGGGGTCACTTAGAAGCCACATAGAATAAGCCTCAGAAAAATAAGCCCAGTCAAGGGGTAGAAGAGAGAAGGATTTATCTGCTACCATTTCCCATTTGTCAATAGTGGCCCCAAAGAGGTACTAATGCCTTTATACTTCCAGGTTTATACAGACATTAGACTGGCTGAGAAGGTTTCTGCAAGCATCCTACTTGGTGATGGCAGAGAAGAGCTGAGCAAAAGGTGAGAATATGAGTGCAGGTGAATTGAGATGTTGTCAGGTAATAGCTACATATAGTTATTTGCTGTAACAACTGGAGCTAAGAGGTGAACACTGTGAGGGCCTGAGAGTTTTACACAATCTGCCTGTTGTTGTTGTTTAGTTGGCATCGAGTTGATTCTGACTCATGGTGACGCTGTGTGTACAGAGCAGAACTTCTCCAAAGGATTTTCAAGGCAATGACCTATTGGAAGCAGATCGCCAGGCCTGTCTTCCGAGGCACCTCCAAACCCATTGCAGTCGAGTCAGGTCTACTCATAGCAACCTGATAGGATAGAGTAGAACTGCCCCATAGGGTTTCCAAGAAGTGGCTGATGGATTTAAACTGCTGACCTTTTGGTTAGCAGCTGAATTCTTAACCACTACACCACCAGGGCCCCAAGGTAGGTTCAAACTGCCAAACTTTGGGCTAATAGTTGAGCACTTAACATTTGTACCACCCAGGGACTCCTCTCCAAATTCATCTTGTACCACTCTTCCCCTTATCTTCTCTACTCCAGCCCTGTTGGACTTCTTTCAGGTCCTCAAACTCCACACTTCTTTACAGCACAGGGCCTTTGCACATGGTCTTCACTCTACTCAAGGCACTCTTACCTCACCTCTTGACTCAGTTTACGCCAACTGTCATGGATTGAATTGTGTCCCCTAAAAATATCTGTCAACTTGGCTGGGTCATGATTCCCAGTATTGTATGATTGTGTAATCTGATGTGATTTCTTCGTGTGTTGTAACCTCTATCACTATGATGAGGTTATATGTGATCTCCTTATGTGTTGTAAACTCTATCACTATGATGAGGTTATATGTGATCTCCTTATGTGTTGTAAATTCTATCACTGTGATGAGGTTACACTGATGAGGTTTACAAGATTAGATAGTGTCTTAATCCAATCTCTTTCGAGATATAAAAGAGAGAAGCAAGCAGAGACACATGGGAACCTCATACCACCAAGAAAGCAGTGCCGGGAGCAGAGCACGTCCTTTGGACCTGAGGTTCCTGTGCAGAGAAGCTACCAGACCAAGGAAAGACTGATGCACCACAAGGACCTTTCTCCAGAGCTGACAGAGAGAGGAAGCTTTCTCCTGGAGCTGATGTCCTGAATTTGGGCTTGTAGCCTACTGGACTGTGAAAGAATAAACTTCTCTTTGTTAAAGCCATCCCATTTGTGGTATTTCTGTTAGAGCAGCACTAGACGACCAAGACACCAACTAATACACATCACTATAGTGTCATTATCTTAGGGAAGCCTCCCCTCGCCTCCCTGACCAAGGAAAGTCCCCCCAGTAATAAGTTCTCGGAGAATCATGTATTTCATCCTGTAGTGCTTTGTTACTATCGTAAATTTGCCATTTTCGTGTCATTATTTAATTAATGGCTTTGTTCCTCCAATAGATTATAATTTTCACGAAGGCAGAGAACTGGTCCATCTTTGTTCCCTGTTGTATCTCTAACATCTAGCACAATGTCTGGCATTGATTAATTGATTAATTAATAATAGTAAATTCTTGCAATTATTTCTGGACATAACTATTCTCTTTTCCACTCTTATCTCCTTTTCATTCCCCAGGCAATGTTGAGTTCAGTTTCTGATAACTGGCCAAACATCAATTAGAGGTAGGCTATGAAGGATATGTTTTAGGTTTCTACTGCCAGGTCCGGAAGACTTGCTCAGGTAAGATAATATTTCAGTGTGGTTTTGAAGCCCTTTAGATCCTCCTAAGCTTCCTCACTCAATGGTTGAAATTCTATTTTTTCTCAAGCAGTGTCCCAACTTTGACATAAAACACTAGAAGAGGGTTCAAATATTATTTTAAATTTTTAAAATGCTTATTCCCATACCAGTAGAAATATATCCCATACCATAGGAGACAGACACTGCTACAGAGAAAGGGGAATGCCCAAATTGGCAACCCAGCCATTGGGGACACTGTCCAATCCCAGCTCCTGGTGCTATCAGGATGGAATCACTGTCTCCACATAGGCCTTCTTTTGAGCATCACACTCCCAACTTAACATCTTTACACTCATGACATTCAGTTAAAATATCTAGGCAGCTTTGATCAGTCAACCTAAGGGAATCATTAACAGTTAAAGGGGAAAACAATAGGCAAGTGGCATAGAAAGAGGCCACAGATAGTAGATGGTCCAAGACAAGAATGTGGCGAGTAGGTGTTAATGCTAATTATGTTTCTGGGAGGTGATGTGGCCAAGGAGACAAACTCTGTAATCAGACTAAACCACAAGCAAACCTGTTGCCTTCGGATTCTAACTCATAGTGACCCTATAGGACAGAGCAGAACAGCCCCATAGGGTTTCCAAGGCTGAAAATCTTTATGGAAGTAGACTGCCACATATTTCTCCCAAGGAGCGGCTGGTGGATTTAAACTGCCAACCTCTCAGTTAGCAGCCAACGCTTTAACCACTACACCACCAGGGCTCCTAGTAATGAGACTATGTGGGTTAAATTTGGGCTCTTGTCATTAATTTCCTGTGAGGCCTTGAACAAATTAGCTAATCTTCCTAAGTGTCAGCCTCCTCACCTATAAAACGGGGATAATAAGAAGAAGAACTATCTTGGAGGGTCATTTAAAAATTCAGTGAGGTAATGTCTGGCACTTCAGAAGCATTCAGTAAATGTCAGCTATTGTTTTCATTACCTTCAGCTGTTGGCTGATTTCTCTCCTTCACCAAAATGCATACTTGGATAAACCCTAACCAAAAAACTAGTTGCCACGAAGTCAATCCTGACTATGTGTTTCAGAGTAGAATTGTGCTCCTTAGGGTTTTCAACGGCTGTGATCTTTCAAAAGCAGATCACCAGGCCTTTCTTCTGAGGCATCTCTGCATGGCCTTGAACCTGAAACCTCCAATCTTTCAGTTAGTAGCTCAGCGCTCAACCATTTGTGCTGCCAGGGACTCCATGCAGACTTTGGTATATAGCTTTAACTAGCTGTCCCCCAAGAATGACTCTGCTGCCAGCCTATCAAATGCCATTGGAGAAAAGTCTAAATGACTACTTCTTGGGAATCCCTGCAGAGGTAAAGGAGCAGTCAAAAGTAGTTTATATTCAAATACAAAGAGAGTTTTGAGTCCCATAGCATCCATGAGAAGAAACAAAGCAGAGGACATCCATGGAGAGAAGAGGAAACGTCTAGAACGTTCTCATAGATCAAAGAACGAGCCTCTGGGGGTGCATCTCCAGCATTATATGCAAAGCTGCTGCCTTTACTATTTCTTCTGGAAACAGGTTTTTTCTAAAGTGGCTAAAAGATAGAAATGTTTTCCAGATGCATGGATATAGATATTGATCTCTTAAAGGCCAGCACTCGTAGCTATTATGTTCCATGTATTCACTCTGTTCTTATGGATTCCATCTGCTTCATCAACCTCCCTCCAGAACTACAACACCTTCCCCCTGGCTGGCTCCTGCAAACTTTCTCACAAGTACTTAAAGCTCATTTAGAGAGAGGGAGGTGAAAGAGAAGGGGGAAATCCAACTCCAAATGGCAGCAAGGAAACATGATGGAGCAAGGAAAATCACTAGAGGCAGAATTAAAAAAAAAAAAAAAACAATGCCTCCTGACAAGACAACTAGCAGACCAGGATTTCCAAGAGGCCTAACTAAATAAATGGTTTTTCCTTTGTTTTAAGTCAATATGTGAGGGAATATTACAGAAGCCCTTCCTAATCAGAAACATAGCTATTCTTTCAAATTGCATTGTCATTCATACCTAATTAATCCCATTCATATCTAATTAACTTTTTCCTCATCCACAAAATTGGCCAGCCCAAGTGATATTCTTTATAGCTAGTTCTAGTAATCTTGTTTAATAGGTGAGTGCCTGTTAGGGGGTAGGTTTCTTAGCCCTCATGCCAGCCTTCTTTGTAAGACACACACAAAATAACTTTTCAGATGCTGAGTTTGTGAAAACTGTACTTTTTCATTCATCACACCATTTGCTGAAGATTTAGGGAGTAGCCTCAATGTGATAAAACGAACCCATATTAAGTATCATGACCACACTTTGCTTCAAAGAGTCTGGAAACATGGAAACCGACATATCCCTGCATATGAGTTCCCTACTGCTGCTGTAACAAATTATCACAAACTTTGTGGCTTAAAACAATGCAATTTTTATTTTCTTACAATTCTGGAGTTCAGAAGTCTAAAATCACAGTGGAGGCATCAGGGGAGAATCATTTCCTTGACTTTTCCAGCTTCTAAAGGTCACTTAAGGAGCCCTGATGGCGCAGTGGTTAAGAGCTTGGCTACTAACCAAAAGGTCGGTGATTTGAACCTACCAGCGGGAGAAAGATGTGGCAGTCTGCCTCCATAAAGATTAACACAAACTAAACCAAATCCATTGTCATCAAATCGATTCTGACTCACGGTGACCCTATAGGACAGAGTAGGACTGCCCCATAGGGTTTCCAAGGAGTGGCTGGTAGATTCGAACTACTGGCCTTTCGGTTAGCAGCCAAGCTCTTAATCACAGCCTCGGAAACCCTATGGGGAAGTTCTAGCCCACCCTATTGGGTCACTATGAACCAGAATAGACTCAACAGCAACATGTATTTTTTTAGAAGTCACCTGCATTCTTTGGTTTATGGCGCCTTCCCCCATCTTGAAAGCACATCACCTCTGGTTTTGTTGTTACGTCTCCTTTTTGTGTTATTGACACTCTTGCCCTTCTCATATAAGGACCCTTATGATTTTGCCCACCTAGATAATCTAGGATACTTTCCCCAGCTTAAGATCCTTAATTTAGTCACATCTGCAAAGTTCCTTTGCCATGGAAAGTAACATATTCACAGGTTACAGAGATTAAGATGTGAATATCTTGGTGGGGGGTGGGGGTCTTTATTCTGTTTACCATACCCTGGATTACAGGCATCTGTCTACTAAATGCAAGCAGCTTTTATTTTCATACACAATGTATTTCTAGAAACATGTATTAAATATGCATATCTGAATATCAAATATTTAACAACATAGTAAGGTGTTTCTATTTCCTGTGAGCTTAAAATAAAATCCTTAACTATACCATACTTTTTGAATTCAATCTTCAATGATATGTGTCTAGCATTACATAAAACCCATTGCTGTTGAGTTGATTCCAACTCATAATGAGCCTATAGGACTGAGTAGAAATGCCCCAGAGGGTTTCCAAGGCTGTAATCTTTATGGAAGCAGACAGTCACATCTTTCTTCTTAAGAGCGGCTGGTGGGTTAGAATCGCTGAGCTTTTGGTGAGCAGCTAAGTGCTTAACCACTGCACCACCAGGGCTCCTTCAAGCATTATATACCTGTTCCTTATTCTTTTTCGACAATTGAAATCACAGTTGATTTGTTTAAGTCTGATGAACATCTGATTGAGGCTGGAACATCTAATGATATCCATATTTATTTGAATTATATTAGTTTGATAAGATTAATACTAATTTTTCAATTTTCCTTTTATCTTATAAAAATAAATACACAGTAAAAATTGTTCAAATAATTTTTTATAAACCACATGTATGCTGAAACTAAACTGGTATATAATAGGCAGAAGCACTATGACATTTGTAAAAGTTTGTTCTTCGGTTATGAACTAAAGTTCAAAACTAGTTTATAAATGCAGATTAGGGATGTTAATTCTAATGGAAAAAAATACAGGCTTTTCAAAATACAGATAGGATCTACATTAAAGAAGAAACTTAAAGTAAGGTTTTTTGTATTATTTTATTTTTTGGTTTAGTTTGGTTTCTGTTATTGGACAACAAGCCACATGAAACATTTTCTCTTTTCTCTGGTAAAATATCACTAGTCCTAGACTGGGAATATTTACACAATTATCATGAAACAAATAACCTAAAATAGTGTTTGCTTTAACTAATGCTTAAGGGAAAAATATTTGACAAAATCAACATAGCTAAAACTAGGATTATTGTATGTTTCTAAAAGAGGTCCCTCTCTCTTTTTTATTAAATGGCAAACAGATAACACTAAATAAAGTTCCATTTAAATATTCACTTGGACCTGTATGTAGATCTAGGTGATTCATTATAATATAAATAGATAGTAAACATTTCTTCACACCATTTTAAACTATCCTTCTTTCATACTCAACTGTAACGTGAGTATAAAATTAGTACGTACCTCAAAGAAGGAGCGCTAGGACTGTGTGAGATAACGTATATGAACTTTAGGGCTAGCACTTGATAAGCATTCGATAAATCTTAGCTATATTTTATTAATAAGCAATGAGAAATAGGCCACACTTAGGGAAGAACTACTGACTCTACTTTTTTAATCCGCTAATTTTCATGCACTTCTGTTGGTGGCATTACCTGTCCCACCATTGTTTCCCAGCAGGGTCCTCGAGGTACATCTGCTGGATCAACAGAAAAAGGTGGTCCAGTGCTATTTCCAGAGAGTGATGCATTGTAGGCCTTGATCATGTTGGCTTCCCAGAGGGTAATGTTGGCCTTTACTAGTTTCTCCTCTTCAATCTGGAAAGCAAAGAGATGGAAACAAAAATAAGACAATGCAGATTTCAAAGGCATTTCTGGCAGTCTTTGAGACTGGAAATTCAACAGCATACCAATGGCAAGGACAATCAGACACAAAGTTTACCTTGTTGTTAATCTCATCCATCAAGGCAAGAATAAACACATACAAGTTGCCTAAAAGAAGAGCAAAAATGCGTCCCAGTAGCCATTTCAAAGCAATCAGGGGGTGATAGTCTTCCAATTCAGCAAATAAGTCAAACAGAGTTGGACAGAACATCCCCAGAAGGGACATAACCATGTTCATCTACAAGGAGACAAAGGAATGAACTAGATTAATGGTGTTTAAATATTATGTCTTTCTGCACAGCAGCGTCTTTATTCACAATGGCCAAAATGTGGGCACAATCCAAGCGTCCATCAACAGATGAAAGGAAAAGCAAAATGCGTTCTATGCATACAATGGAATAGTATTCATTCATAAAAAGGATTGAAGTTCTGATACATGCTACAACATGGATGAACCTTGAAAATGTTGTGCTAAGTGAAATAAGCCAGATATAAAAGGAAAAATATTGTATGAGTCTACCTATATGAAATCTCTAGAACAGGAAAAGTTATACACATAGAAAGGACCTTAGAGATAACCAGGGGCTGGAGGACAAGGAGAGTGGGGAGTTATTGCTTAATGGGTATACAGCTTCTGTTTGGGGTGATGGAAAACTTTTGAAAATAGATAGGGGTGACAGTTGCACAACATTGTGAATGTAATTAATACCACTGAATTTAAAGCAGAAAAAACAAACCTGCTGCCATTGAGTCCATTTTGACTTACAGCAACCCTACAGGACAGAGTAGAACTGCCCCATAAAATTTCCAAGAAGCAGCTGGTGGATTCGAACTGCCAACTAGCAGCCAAGCTCTTAAGTACTGTGCCACCAGGACTCTGCCATTGAATTATACACTAAAAGATGGTTAAGACGGCAAAATTTTATTATGTATATATTTTACCACATTAAAAAAAAAAATTACGTATTTCTTTCCCCTAAAATTCTACAAGATTCCCAGCTAGGTTCTCTTTGATCTTTTATAAGACTTCAGAAGATTATTTCATGCATTTTTATAGTTTGATCTTAATAAAACAACAAAGACAATATTCAACTCACATTCTCAAGAAGCACTTGTGAGTTTGTGTATGTGCCAGTAATAATAGTATTTCGGGTTATAGGGAAGGATCCATTTTACATCACTCTGTACCCAGAGAGCATACATTCTTATATGCGGTAACTGATTCTGATAGGCTGACGCACTTTACAGCCAGAGTTTCAAAGGAAAAGGCATATGATCTGCTTGAGGAATGAGGTCAGACCTAGAAATACTAATTAGACACTCATTAGCATATTGGCTAGTTTGAGCAGTTAGAATGCGACAAGCTCTCTGAAATGGGCTCAGGACTAAAAACTGAACTTTGGGGAATGCAAAATGTTGGGGGTATAAAAATATCATGGGCGTTATCAAGGAAAACATAGGGCATTCAGAGAAGCACAAGGAGAAACACATAACAGAATGTTATAGAAGCCAAGGTAGGAAAGTTTCAAAAGTGAAGGATTTGTTTATAAATTCCAAAGGCGAGAGAGAGAGAGAAATACTGTATGGAAAATAGAAAATGTGTTGCTCATACCTCCTGGCTGTCTGGCAGCCTTATGATGATAGTACTAAGCTAAACTATGTCAAAGAAAGAGCCTGGAGCATGTACTACTTTTATAAGGGGAAAAAAAAATCTTTAAATGAAAAAAATATTTCAGCTATGTCTGATGACTCTCCCAATTCCGAAACATTTCCTATTTTCCTCAGCAAATTTCATTTTTTGAACAGTTAGAACTACCAAACTATATTTAGAAAATAATTTCATGTTTTTCCTCATTTTTATTAGTTAAGAACATTATATAAGTATGACCAACATGAGCCAAAAATCAGCATGGCATAGCATAAAACTGGCATGATACAGTATCAGCCCAAAGCAAAAAACCTGGCATAGCCTGTGCAATCTTACATAAGGTAAATTTAAATTTATTTTCACTAATTTGTAAAGTTACACATGAATTTCCATTTTTATTTTTCTTGGCCCCTAGGATTCAAGAGTTAACTAAGAAGAATGTTAAATAGTTTCTTTCAAAGAGTGACCCTTTTAATGATCCCTCGATTTGATTAATTTATTTAAAGAAGCAAACAATAGAAACCATGGACCAAAGTTGCATAATAATTTTATCTATAAATACTATCAAAATCATGAGAGAGAATTTTGACAGCAAACTTAGTCAATGCTCGAGGTTCTTCTTTGTTTTAAAAAATAAAACCCCTCTACCTAATGGCTTTCTGCTTTACAGGTTCACATGAGAGGTTTATGATATTGTCAACTAAAATGTATGATCCCCGTCTGCATGGTTCCCAGTACTGAAATACCTAGAATGATTGTGTTTGGAGGCTTGAAAAAAAAAAAAGACTATATAATTTTCTATATAAGATTTTTCTAGGAAATTATATCTTTAGAAGACTGGTTTTTGCTCTACAGAGTCTGCAGAAGTTTCAGTGATACTATATCTTAGAAATCTTTTGATGTGTCTAAACTTCCCACAGGATAAATCTGCACATATTTTGGAAGTGTCCAAGTTCAAAATAATGCTACATTGTACATGGGAACATTATATGAAAGAGAACAGATTCTAGCAACAACACATGACCAATGATTTCCTGAATCTAAATATCTACCTCTAACTTTCTTTCTCTGACCCATTAAACGGGCAGATACTCTGAAGATAAATAACGACCATAATATTGAATTCTTGGCCAAAAGCTGGCTTTCCTCATTTGAACCATGTGTGGAGAGAGAGGGAATGAGGAAGAGGGTGAGGTAGTAGGCAGATCTGTGCAGTTAAGCTATTAGTGAAAAGGAGGGAAGCCCGTACTTGCCCAAAGTAGGGAAGGCACTCTGAAAGTTTCCAGTGAGATGACAAGTTAAATACAATCTATCCTCATTATTCATAGATTCCATCTTTGAAATTTGCCTTATTAGTTGCCGTGGAATCAATTCCCACTCACGGCCACCTCACGTATGCAGAGTAGAATTGCTCCATAGGGTTTTCAAGGCTGTGATCTTTCATTACAATATTGCCAGGCCTGCCTTCCCAGGCACGTCTGGGTGGGTTTGAATCACCAACCTTTCAGCTAGTAACCTAGCACTTAACCCTTTGTGTCACCCAGGGATTCCTTTATAGAATGCTGTTGTTGTTATTAGGTGCTGTGGAGTTAGTTCTGACTCATAGTTACCCTACGTACAACAGAACAAAAGATTGTCCTGTGCCATCCTCACAATCATTGCTATGCTTGAGCCCATCGTTGGAGCCAGTGTGTCAGTCCGTCTCACTGAGGGTCTTCCTCTCTTTCGCTGACCCTCTAATTTACCAAGCATGATGTCCTTCTCCAGGGACTGCTCCCTTCTGATAACATGTCTGAAGTACGTGAGATGAAATCTTGCCATCCTCACTTCCAAGGAACATTCTGGCTATAGAACATAACTACTGAGAATAATGAGAACTGACTGTTTAGGAACTAAGGGCTTTATCATAGCTGTCTCAAAGAATTTAGGCAACAATTGTATCTTTCAACGACAGGTGTGGGATCTACAGAGAAGGCAAGAGATGGTAATAGAAACAGTCTTGGATTTGAAATCAAGACTCCTAGGTTCTAACCTTCACTCTTCTAACCCTGAACACATCATCTAATCTCTTGAGATTCATCACTCTCATCTGTAAAATATAGGTTTGGGCCATATGTTTCTAAGATCTTTTCCAACTCTAACATTCTATAATGTCACAAAATGAAAAAAACAAAAACACACAATAGATTTAGAAATAAGATTGGAATAGAGTGAAAAATCTACAACAGGATTGGTTAAATATAAGGGGGAGATACATAGGGTGGCCTTATGTAATGTTCCACCACAGAAGCATAATCTACAAAGTAGCAAATGTCAGGTTCTAAGCACATAAAAAGCATGCAGGGACGAACTTCATTTTTTTCCCACCACCCAAGGGTGTCAGGATCTTGCTGCGCAAATTCCTGGGATCGCTTCACAGCCCAAAAGATGAGGTATCCACTCGCGCCAAGTGTTAGAAACACGAAGAAGTTAGCAAGAAACCTCAGGAATCTGATCAAGTGGATGTTTTCTTCTACTTGAGCTGCTTTTTCTTCCAGGATAGCTTCCTGTACAAAGACAAAACAGAAAAGAAAAAAAAAAAAAAAGGAATGCTTAGCCACAAAAAGTATCATGAAATCAGGGATTATTAGGCAAACATCAGAATATGAGAAATGAAAATATAAACTTAATTTCATGAATTTTCCCAGCAGTGAGAGTAAGTAAGAGAAAGAAGGAAGAATTCGTGCAACCAAACTCTGATTTCTCTAAGGTAGTCTTTATTATAAAAGACACTCTCTTCCAGTACAGTTGTTTTAAAAAATATCTACAAAATAATGTCTTAAAGTCATTTTTAAATATTGAGCCAACTTTTTCCTGTAAATAATTAACGGGCATTGTTCTAGTATTTAAAATATCTGCTTCTGATACTAATGATCTCATACTTCAAGCCAATGGCATTACTTTATTGCCAGATTTAGAAAAGAAAAGTCCTACAGGGACAAGAGCAATTCTCAGGGATCATCAGATATTCTCCAGTCAGAGCCCTGCCTAGATCCTGCTAGGCAGAAATGGTTAAGTTCTTCTTTTTTTTTAATTGTCAAGATACTGTACTACCTATCCCACATGGAATGGCTCCAATTTTCTTCTTAAAAATACAAAGAAAAGTCATTTGAAGTTTGCATCTTTACCTTAAAGTTCATTGTGATGGAATTAAATTTGTTGTCTGCTGTTTCAGGATTGCCAATCAGGTAGTCCCAGCTCGTGAAGACCATCCAGCTGAATTTGAAATTGTCATCACCGCCCCCATCTTCACCAATATTTTGGGTCATCCTGTAAGCCAAGAGAGTTTAACCAAGCAACCAGAAAATGAAAAGAAAGGGAGAGGCCAGGGAGCGTCAAAACATAGGTAAATTGGAGAAGCAATATCTAAAAAATACATATTTTTAAACAAGTTTTTTCCAACAACCAGAAAATAGAAGTGTATTTTTAAATTTTTGTTTTCTTTGGTTTTGGTGTTTGGTTGGTTGGTTGTTTTAGATGTTTAAATTGTTCTTTTTCCAGGCTTCAAGACTAAAAAAAACTACTAAGCATCGATGATTTCAACAATTAAATGAATTCTATAACAATACATATTTTTGTTGTCTTCATCTGAAAAATTAATATAATTGGTCTTTTGTGAGATAAAGATCCCATTGAAGATCTGATGAAAACTGTTGTGTCCCTCCCCATGGGAGGAACAAATATGAATAAACACTTATTGTTCCATACAACTTTAGCTGGTTCCCAAAACCCCTGAAACTTATCGATGGACTAACCCAAGTCAAGAAACTACTATGTAGATTTCACTTCCCTCTACAACCTCCTCCCAAAGAATGATTACACAAATGCATTGCATTTGTACTTCCTCTCCATCTCGTGATCAAAAATCAAGGGTTTTATACATTCTTAATGCCAAATAATGGTATATGTATTCTAATTAGTTTTTTTTTTTGATATATAATTTTGCTTGCATTTACTTACAGATTTATTTCAGTGGTTAGAGATCTATAGTCCACTTACTTTACTTTCTTTTTTCCCCTATCATTTTAAATAGCAAAACTGAAATAGCATATGACATATTATAAAATAGTCACATATGGTTTTGTGTTTTTGTTTTTAATGTTATAGTGATATGGAACCAAAAAAAAAGGGGTGTGGTGACATAAAGCTGATATTATAGGTTGGTGGGCATCTCTATGATCTTCTAAATCACTGCCCCCTCCCCCCCCATTAGCCCCTTATGGAGGCTTATATATTCTAAATGGACTAACATGTTATGAGAAATAGCCAAAAATAACAATCCCTTACACTGGTCTAATATTTTGCCCTTTGTAAATGGTATTTACATATATGCTCATTTTTGCCCTCTTCAAAAACTTAGCAAGAGATCAAGTTAATCTTAATCTCTTTTTACAGGTGAAGAAACTGAGGCTTAAAGACATAAAGTGATTTACTGGACGTTATCCAGAAGTAAACACAGAGATATGACAAAAGCTCAGGTTTTTTTATTTCTACTCCAGCGCCCAAACTAAGACACAATGAGATAGGTTGAACCATATGAAAATCCCTTTTCTGGTAAGTCAAAAAGGGTTGAAATTAGATATTTCATATGATTTAACCAAGGGAGAAAATTATTATTTTTTATTGACATACCACCACTTATTTTTTATGCTGTCACATAGCAAGGGATAGGGCCTCAATTTGACAAATAAGCCTTGAATGGAATTTTATCATAGGCAGTTTTGTAGCTGAAGAGAGATCCCAGGGAGGAGCCGAAGCTGGAGGATCAAACAGGGAACAACTCATGTATGGGAACTGAAATGAAAGAGAGTGGAGTACTAAAAGGGGTAAGGAAGGGGTTAATAGATAACCCCCTACACTGCTTATAGTAGGTGCTCAATATATATTTATTAAATGAATGAATAAATAGATGAATTGTGATTCTGGAAGTAAACTAAATCCTGAGAAAGGTATCACCAAATAAATGCATACAACACAAATAGCTTTATACACGGCACAAAACATATCATACGCTTGTTACACTATTGCTCTTTAATTCTGTCCTTGTCATTACAAATAAATTTTGACAATGTCATCTCACTTTGTAAATGGTTGCAATTGATGCTGGACTATTACTACCCCTAGTCCATTTTAGATAGTTCAAAAACAGTTGCAGCAGTACATCGACAAGGAGCTGCTGGAAATTCAAGACAGATTAAGAAGGGGACATGGAACAAGGTATATCATTGCTGATGTCAGATGGATCTTGGCTGAAAGCAGAGAATACCAGAAATATGCTTACCTATGTTTTATTGACTATACAAAGGCATTTGACTTGTGGATCATAACAAATTGTAGATAACACTGCAAAGAATGGGAATCCCAGAACACTTAATTGTGCTCATGAGGAACCTGTACATAGACCAAGAGGCAGTTGTTCGAACAGAACAAGGGGATATTGCATGGATTAAAATTATGAAAGGTGTGTGTCAGGGTTGTATCTTTTCACCATACTTACTCAATCTCTATGCTGAGCAAATAATCCAAGAAGCTGGACTATGTGAAGAAGAATGGGTCATCAGGATTGGTGGAAGACCATTAACAACCTGTGATATGCAGATTTCACAACCTTACTTGCTGGAAGTGAAGAGGACTTGAAGCACTTAGTGATGAAGATCAAAGACCACAGTCTTCCTTATGGACTACACTTCAACATAAAGGAAACAAAAGTCCTCACAACTGGACCAATAAGCAACATCATGATAAGTGGAGAAAAGACGGTAGTTGTCAAGAATTTCATTTTACTTGGATCCACAATCAACACTCACAGAAACAACAGTCAAGAAATCAAACGACGTACTGCATTGGGCAAATCTGCTACAAAAGACCTCTTTAAAGTGTTCAAAAGCAAAGATGTCATTTTGAGAACTAAGGTGAGCCTGACCCAAGCCATAGTGTTTTCAATCGCCTCATATGCATGCAAAAGCTGGACGATGAATAAAGAAGACAGAAAAGAATTGATGCCTTTGAATTATGGTGTTGGCAAAGAATATTGACTATACCATGGACTGCCAGAGAATGAACAAGTCTGTCTTGGAGGAAGTATAGCCAGACTGTTCCTTGGAAGCAAGGATGGCAAGACTTCGTCTCATGTACTTTGGACATGTTATCAGGAGGGACCAGTCCCTGGAGAAGGTAATCGTGCTTGGTAAGGTAGAAGGTCAGCGAAAAAGAGGAAGACCCTCAATGAGATAGACCGACACAGTGGCTGCAACAATGGGTTCAAACATAGCAATGATTGTGAGGATGGCGCAGGACAGGGCAGTGTTTCCTTCTGTTCTACATAGGATAGCTGTGAGTCGGAACTGACCCTACAGCACCGAACAACAACAGTTCATACTTGCAGTAGGAATAATTTTTCACAATGAATTTTATAATCTTAAATATAGCTCATTAAACAGTAATATTAAATGAAGACTAGAATATGGTGCCATTAATTCTCTCATACTTCACTGCTTTTCTGATTGGTGCAGAAAACCCTGACATTTCGAAACAAGGTCAACAGTAGTTTAAGGCAGAGTAGACAATCATAGGTTTTGTGAGATTTATGGGATTTCCTGCCCTGTAGGCCAGCCTCACTTACCCTTCCATAACTTGCCATCCAGGCTGAAATCCATCCTTAGAGACATCAAATATTGTCATCTCAGTGAAAATATCTCTAGGAAGTAAAATATTAGACTGTAGCCTGTGAGGGGTCCTGATGCATTTCTCTGAGACAGCTAGCTAAGGGAGATTCCTACAGCAAACAAATGTTTAAATGGGAGGAGGAAAGAGAAACAATTTTGAGGCTAAGATATCATGCAAGGATGCCAAGAAACATGGAAGACTTTTAGGCAGGATATCAAGAAGGTAACAGCTGTCTGAGTCAGGAGATACAAAAGAAATGAAAAGGAAATAGAGGGCGTGAAAATCTCACTGTCATCAAGTCAATTCCAACTCATGGTGACTTCATGTGTGTCAGAGTAAAACTGTGCTCCATAAGGTTTTCAATGGCTATAAACTTATAGTAGCACGATGGTTAAGTGGTCAGTGGCTCTACAGGAGAAAGACATAGCGATCTGCTTCCATAAAGATGACAGCCTAGGAAACCCAGTGGGGCAGTTCTTCTCTGTCACATGGGGTTGCTATGAGTCAAAATTGACTCAGTGACACCTAACAACAATAATGTTGCAGAAGTAGATCTTAAAGCCTTTCTTCCATTGCACTGCTGGGTGGATTTGAACCGCCAACCTTTTGGTTAGTAGCTGAGTACAAACCTTATGTGCAGCCCAGAGACTGGAAAATATACGTACAAAGGAGAAAATAAATTTTCATTTATTTAGAAATGTTATGTGAGGTTGACTATGATTTTAATGTAATATTAGAATATATGTGTTTTGTAAGACAAAAGCATTGTTGCTTTTTTACAAAATTTTTGACCACAGAAATTATTTCAAGGCCATATAAGGACAAAGGAATTTGGTAACAGACAAGGAACAGCTTTAACATAGAATTGAACAGGCCACCAAGGTCAAGGTAGAGGCAGGTCCGTGTCCTCATCACCACAGATACACTTTAATGAGAGATTAGGAGAAAAGTGTTGGGATATGAATGATGTTCCAAGATCTGTTCTGTAATTTACTGGCTATCAGAGCTCAGTGAAACCATCAAACTCTGCTGAGCCTCGATTTTCCGTCTGCCTAAAAGGAATAAATACTTAACCAACTATATAAAATTGATGGAAGGAACAAATTGGTCTATGAAGGAGAAGCATAACACAAAGAGTTGGCAGGGGGATAGGAATGGGAATCATGTAATGCTTTTGAATTGTCTTGATATTCAGGCCAATGAACTTAAGCCACTTGCCAATCAGGTAAATGAGCAAATCAAAGGTCCATGCCAGAGGGAAGGGCCAAAGTCAGGCTGCTTTGGTTGGTATCACATGGATGACTTTGAGGGTAAAAGTGTGGAGCTGATGCCTTGCAGCAGCTATCCTAAATAGTATCTTTGAGTAAATTCAAAAAAGTCACCACTTCTAGAGCTATGTTCTCCAGTACAGTAGCCACTAGCCACGTGTGGTTATTGAACACTTACAATGCGGCTAGTTCAAATTGGGGTGTGCTAGAAGTATAAAAGACACATCAGATTTCAAAAACTTAATACAAAAAAAGGAAGAAAATATCTTGATAATAATTTTTATACTGATTATATGTTAAGATAATACTTTTGATATATTGAGTTAAATAAAATACACTATTAAAATTAATTTCACCTTTTTCTTTTTTAAACATCGCCACTACAAAATGTTAAATTATATATGTGGCTTGACTTATATTTGTTTGCACAATGATGTTCTAGGTACTTTAAATTCATCTGCCAGAAAATTGTTCTAATAGATATAAAACCTACTAATGTTCAACTGCCTTTGCCGGCTATCATGTGGCCCTAATCCTTACCATGTTTACTTTGTTTGGTTCTTCAATAAACCTATGAATTATAAACCCAATAAATAAATGGTTAACATTTGTCATTCGATATTTCAAGCATGTTCTAAGGACTTTGTATATACTAACTCCTTTAGTTCTCACAAGCATCCTGTTAGAGATGAACACAACAGAACAGTTGAGTTGAGCAATTTGTCTAAGGTTATATAGTACATGGTAGAGCTGGGATTTGAACCTAGGCAGGAAAGACTCAAGAGCCCTCACTCTTCACCACTGGGGTATACTGCTTCTGTGGAATCACTAAAAAAGCTGAGTAACTGGACATACAAAACCATTCTTCCCCAGTGACCATGGAGACTAAAGGACCAACACAGAAACAATAGCCACAAGGCCTCAGTAATGTAAATGGCATCCTTGACTTTAGTCCAGCCAAATTAATATGGTCAAAAGGCTAGAAAGGGTTATTGACTTCTGAAATGTGGTTGTATATTATCAGGACCTTATATCTGGTGGTCTCTGATTCCATTTGGACAGGTAGATAAATGTCTTGGATGTGGGGTCCACATTAAGGCTGTTTCCAAGTCCTAAAAGGGCTTAAAATCTAAATATAACAGTTTTATTCAAAGGAACCATTAAGTCCAGCAGGGACAGGACACAAAGTGTGTCACAGACTATTCCAGAGAGCTCCTGCTTAGAGTGACTGTGTGCTTCATCCCTCTTGGCCTCTCAGGCCTTCTCTGCAAGGAGGCAATAGGCTGATTCACATGGGTACAGTCAAATAAAAGGGTAAGAAACATTAATTGAGATGTTTCAACTCTTCTCCTAAGCTAGTTCAAGAAATTGTCTGAAGGATGGATTATTTACATCCCCAAATAACTGTGCTAGGTTTCTGCAGCATCTTTAAGCAGAATATCATAAATATATTTCAGGCAGGGGTGAAAAATGAACTGCAGTTTCATTGGTAACCCAGAGAAATCCTTCCCCATGCTCTCATAAATCCTTTTCTGAGACTAACCATGATTATACAGTTTATCGTGACTATCTCACTGGGAGGCCATTCGTTTTTGCTGTATTATACAGCTGAAATGTTTTGGATGAATGATTATTCTGGTTTTTAAAATAATGAACAGAAAACACCAGATTCTGCCTATTGAGCTGATTCTTCAAGTCGCAAACCTCCGCACACGAAAGGAGGGCTCAGCAGCTGTTTTGCTGCCTTGTTGGCAACATTCATTCACACCTTGGAGTACAAAAAGGCACTTTTAAAAAAAATATACTTAAACACACGATAGGCATGCAATCGTGAGCCTGACCTAGAGACGCGACCCTCAGGCCTGTGCTTGCGTTCAACCCTTTTGTTTGGAGGATGTAATAGTCTGACATTACTGTGGCTATCAAAGCTGTATTTCATTTTTTACAGATGCTGCACCCTCTAGACATAAAATAGCAACAAAATTATCTCCAGTTCTCCGATTAATTTCCTCATTTGATTCTGGAAATTATTGTTTGTTTCTCAAGAGACACATGAAACTTACGCTTTGAGGACAACCACAAAACTGTATCCAATGCACATAATGCCCACCAGAAAATAGGAGAGTGGCAACCTGAAATTCATCCATCCAATCGTTCGTCGATTGTCATAATAGCCATAGAAGAGGACGGAATATTGTGCCAAGCCCTAAAATCCAACAACAAAGTCACTGAGCAGATGCTGTGAAGAGCAATTCAAAAAAAGAAAAAGGAAAAAAAAAAAAAAAAGGACAAGAAAGATCACCTCCTAAGAGGAATAACAAAATGACATTACTTTTCAAACTTGGGTGATGGTTTTGACATGAGCCCTATTGTTTTGCTCCATAGAATGAATGTTATGCTGCCACATTGATTGGCAGCTTTTTGGTTTATTCGAAATTCAGTGATTCCTAAACAGACCAAATTTTTAACCAAATACAGGCTTGCTCAGCTGTGGAGCCGTTACTGTGAAATGCCCATTGATTGAAACATCAAAACACACTTCATGGTGTCATTAGATTCACAATTTTAAGAGCTTGCTTAGTATTGGGGCGAGGATATGAAACATGCTTCCTCAAAGCGTTGTGGCAAGTTTCCATTTCCAATCACCTGCACCATAATTACATCAGTTCTCCTTAAACCACAGAGGCTGTGCCTCAGCGCACATTTAGCAAAAACGAGGCGCAGGTGAGGTAACATTGGAACCAATCTGCACAACCTTCTATTTATCAGACCTATTAAGACATTCTCCCATAACAAGCATGTTTATTTGTGTCTTCAGTGCTCTTCCTAAAAATATTATCTGCCAGGGTTGGAATCACCGTCTTCCAAAGCACCTCAATAAACCTCTCTTTATGTACAGAACATGGACATATTCTAATGTTGCTTCCTTTACAATATTCTTCATCTTTTTCTCTTTCTCCCGTTGACTGTGTTTTTCACTCTCGGCATTGAACCATTGTTTCCACATTACTATCTATCCACTTGCCCAGCTTCTCTCTGACTTCCTCTCTCTGGCAATAACTTAAAATTACTATGCTTTGTGAAGTGAGAAGATAATAATTTGCCAATCTGGGGCTTCCTCTTGAGATCAAGTGAGTTATCTTTGAATCTTAGAAAATCCAATTGGTTGCCTTTAACATCATTTTTACCAACCCAGAGATTTTGAAGCCAACTACTGAAAAAGGAAACAGAGAAATCGGGTGAGAAAGACAAGGAAGAAGCAGAAGGAGGCAGAGAAGTTTTGAAATGCCTTGGATGCTAATTCCCAGGGGAAGAATTAAAAGAAGTAACCTGGAAAATTGCCTTAAACAAAGATTATGTCTTGTTCAATTCAGAGGCCATGGAGTCCTGGAAAAACAAAACATTGCTTTCAAATTTGGGGGCAAATTTATTTTTAAGACTGTAAGAACTAGCTGGAAAAATCTCCAGAAAATTTCAAACATGGTCCTGAGCTTAACTAGGGATGGGATGGGATGAGAGGGGTGTAGGTAAAAGCTAAAGCACTATGCCTCCCTACATAACACAAGGTTGTATCTGCATTTTCAGTTTAATTAAAAAAAAAAAAAAAAATCTAACCCAAAAGAAAATTTGGGACTAAACAGCTAGCAGAAACTTCAAATACTGGGAGCAAGTGGGCTAATCTTGTGTCCAAGGTAAGAAAACAAATAGACACGGATTGGCCAGCTGCCCAAGACCGAGAAATCATGCAGGATTGACAGGATTTCCCAACATTTAGTTCCATGATGTCTTCTTGTTTCACATTCATCTAGTTAAGATCTCTGCTTCCTTCTAGATTTTTTAAATCCACTCTTTTTCTAGCCTGTCCTGGACCTTCGGGCTGGCCTACCTATCTTACAGGTCTCTTGCCTGATCTAATGTTATATTCTGAACTGTTTATTTTTTCCCGTATGGGTACAACACATATTTTTAAAACTCTTCCTATTTTTCCCAGCAATGATCCTTACCTCATTTCCTTGCCGTGTCCTGACACTTGGTGATAATTATTGCAGTGGTAATGTCAGTTGATAAATTTTGTTGAGAATTTAGAATTTCCTGAACACCTATTTTATGTCACAGAACCCCCACAAGAGCCCTATGAAGTTGCTACAGTTCAGGGCAATTGTTTTCCCCCACTCTTGGTATTCTCTTCCATATTGAAGAGATCCATGAATGTAACACTCCAACCTTTCTCACTGCCTCACTCTAGCCCCTGGGAGGAAAGACCAATCTGATAGTAGAGCATGGATGAAGAAGAGCGGGTAATGTGGACCACCTCTCTTCCTCTTCTTAAAAAAAGTTACCTTGCAGGGGAAGGTCTGTCCTACTCTAAGGCTGCTGGGTGTATAGGTCTGGCTGTGAAGTCCATTTGCCCATAGAGAGACACCACATCCTTTAGTATCAGCTTTAACAGTACTAAAGATGACATGTTGGCCTCCAACTATCTCACCCTTTGTCTTATTTCTGACTGGCTCAGAAACTGGTTGAATAAGGAAGGGGTTGTTATTTACCATGCACCCCACACACACCCACATACAAAGAACCAAGAGCTACTATTGTTATACCCATTTTATAGATGAAGAAACTGAGCCTTAGAGAGATTAAGTAATTTGTCCAAATTCATGAAACTAGTAAGTGACAGAGTCTGAACTTGAACTGGGGCAGTTTAATTCAAATTCCATATACTTAACCACTGTGCAAAATTGCTTCTCCAGTGTTTTCCTTTGCCTGTCAGCTCCTGTGTTATGCTAGTTCCATACCTTTTCAGTAAAACAAGGAAAGATAAAATCTTACCAATCCAGCATGGACTTTTGACCTACACCTCTGGATTTGTTCCTGGTTGTACCAGGGACTCTTGGAAAGGACCCTGAATACTTCCTTTGAAAATATTTCAGAGGGCTTCATCTCTACATCGATAAATATTACAACCTGATATCTCTTTTCTAATTCATGATGACAATATGGGGATTAAAAAACACTCCCAAAATAACATGAAAGCAGAAAGTAGATATACACTAAGCATCTGGTGAGCTTGTTAGGTTAACACAATAGCTACTGGGGCAGCTAGCTCATCTGGTGTCTATACCATTAAACATATGCTCGATAGCAGGCACTTCATAAATATTAAATCACAACCAAAGAGGTAAGGGTCCTGTTTTTCCTGGGACCCTGATTATTTCAAAAAGGCTTTTTCAGTTTTCTTATTTACTACATACACAGTCAAGTATTTAAATGAAAGAGGTACTATTAAAGAGTACAATTTTAAAAAGCTTTATCAAATCCATCTTAGTAGTATGTTGAAGGGTGGCTTTAAACATGAGTTGAAAGGCTTAAAAGAGGAACACCCTCCCGTTCTACCCAGCGGGTAAGCCACACTCCACACATCTTTCCCCTCCCCTCAAATTACAACAGCAGACATCTGGAAGTGACTAAAATAGCAATGACTCCTAGCCTAGCCAAGGTTCTAGTCAGTTTCCATGTCAGCACGCTCTGCTTTCCCTGTGGGAGCACTCTCTACCCCAAAATCTGTGACAGAGAAACCATAGTCAGAGCCAAGTTCCAAATGAGCACAGAAAATCCCTGTCCAACTCTGGAGTTCCATGCTTGCACATAGTCTAGTAAGACTCTAATTTCTATTAGAATGTCGCAGGCTGGTCGAGTCGTAAGTCATGGACAGATTTCCACAAGAATCGAAAATGTTTTGACATGTGATCACCAGGAATCAACTCATGTATTCATTAATCTAACATTTATCGAGAACTTAATATTTGCCAATTACAGAACTGAGAGGGAGACTAGATGATAGAGGCCCTTAATAAGCGTTTTGCATGCAAAATATGGAAGGTTAACAAACAGGAGTTCGGTTCCTCTTTTAACCAGCATGAAGTCTTAATATATGTTCCAACATAATATTATTACATGCCCTTGACAAGGGGAATATTATATTAGAACATATATTAAAACTTCATCTCTTTGGTGTTGCTCGGGATTACAAGCAAATTCTCACTGGGAAAGAAAAAGCTCAATCTTCAGTGAATTAGTTTTATTATTATCCTTAGTAATTCTATTTAATTGGTAGTAACTGTCAAACTAGAATTCCTAGGTGGTACAAATGGTTAGTGGACTTGGCAGCTACCCAAAATGTTGGAGGTTCAGGTCCACCCAGAGGTACCTCAGAAGAAAGGCTTGGTGATCTACTTCTGAAAAATCAGCCATTGAAAACTTTACGGAGCACAGTTCTGCTCTGACACACATGGGGTTGCCACAAGTTGGAATCAACTCGACAGCAACTGGGTTTTGTTTTTGTTTTTATTAGCAAGATCATTTAGCAAGGTCCTAAAGCCAGGCCCTCCAATCTGGCCTCTGTTAGTAATGAACATGATGTTTTGCCTTCCATATGCCTCTCTTTTTAAAACAAACTATCGGCAACTCTGTGGGAAATAGAGTTGCTATTTACTGGGTCCCCTCAGAAACCCCAGCACTGAACCCTTCCTTCATTATGCCATCATGTACCTAGGACATGTGTCTGTTAGTTTGAGACTGTCACATTGTGTGGCAATTGTTTATATACATTCAGTTTGACCATAAGGTCCCTGTAAGCAGGGAATATACATTATTTGTCTTTGGATTGCCGCATCTGACATTCAGTTTCTGTTCGTGGGATGGCTAAACAGACAAAGAAATTGTTTCTGTATATTGCTTCTGATGGTCATTTAGCAATCCTCAGTTAGATTAAGTTCCTTTATACTGTCATCTAAACCAGGCTTTTCCATTCTTCTGATCTCCACTATCAGTTTTTAATAAAATGCAGTAAATCATTCAAGACAGTAACATGATGATTAAATCTTATGCTGCGATATAATGAATCAAAACACCAAAAGTATATGAAAGACACTAAACACTAAAGCTGGCAAAATCTTAATTTTTTTCTACTGTCTAATTGCCTGAAACTCTTACAAAATGAGGGCATCTCAGTGCCACAAAATGAGCGCTGTGTATGATTTCCTCCCATATAGGAAAAATGGTCTTCTTTTGTTTCACAAAGTGGAAATTAACAGCATCATATTATGGGATTTTGTTGCTCGGCTGACTTCTGGATTTTATGTCTTCCCACTAGCTCTTTAAAGTCATGCAGAGTGAAGCTTTGTTAAGTCATACATGAAATGAGAAGAGTGTGCTCATATGGACACAGCCTGTACCGACAACTATCACATTTTTACGTAAATAACGTGCACCTTCTGTTTGTTTGCCAACTGTACCCTCCTCCCACCACAAGGTATTTTCATAAGCACCACTAAACCAATTTTTTTTTCATGTTGCTGTAAGAAAAATTAGCATAATGCACTTATAAGAATACCTTATGGTGAGGGCACTGTTGGCAAACAAAGAAGGTGCACGTTATTTGCGTAAAATACAGTACCTTATTGTTATCTACTTTAAAAGGAGGTTTTGAACAACAACTACAAAAAAGTAGAGAAATATTGAAACCATGAGAAAATGAATTGAGTTCAGGAGATTTTAATCCCATATGAGCAGCATACGTGTTCTTAATTGTGATAAACATATATGTAACAAAACATGCCATTTCAACATTTTTTACATGTACAATTCAGTGACATTAATTATGTTTATCATATTGTTCAACCATCACCATTATTCATTTCTAAATTTTTCCATCACCCTTAATGGCCCTAAGCAATGAGTCCTCCTTCTCCCTCCTTCCTGCCCCTGGTAACCACTAATAAATGTTGATCTCAATACACTTGCCTGTTCTGCTCCTAATCTTATCTTGGTGTCATTTCAGGAGACCTGAAATGATACATCCCTTCAAAAGGGATCCCTGAAAATAAAGATGAATTTGAACTACTAATGCACTCCTAAAAGAAAAGATGTGTTATTCTATGTGTGAATCACAAAAATGATCTCTCCGGAATGTGGCCAGTGCAATGAGAGATGAAGGAACTTAAGAAAGCTGAGATATGTTCAAGAGGAGATGCCCTTACTTTGGAAGAGCATTATTTAAAAGAGTTGCCGACACAAGTTAAAGAAGGAACTAAACTCCTGTTTGTTAACATTCAGAATGTCTGTGTCCAGACTCCTTTGAGGTCAGATCATAGGCCTCAAGGATGGGATGTGGCAAAAGTGGGCAGAAGGAATAGGTTTAGGATGATAATGTAAGCACGCAATTTGACATTGAAGTCAGCCAGACTTTAGTTTGAATTTCTGTTCTTCTCCTAATTATCTATGCTGTCTTTGGCAAATTAACTAACCCTCAAGTGTAAAAAGATTAATAATCTCCAACTTGAAGGGTTAGTATGAAGAGAAAATTTAATGTATGTGTCTTCTTAACACGTAATAAGTGTTAATTCTCTCTCTCCTGTCCCTGCTAGGGCTTCCACAATCTCTACCACTTAGGACAACCATCAGAAAAGAGGAGACAAAATGGAATCACCATTTATCCATGTGCAATATACAAGATGTCCTCAAGTTGAAAGCTGAATATATTTCCCTTTATTCACAACTCAAATCATTACCCCTATGATCTCACACTCTGATATCAGCTCAAGCTCCTTCCAAATTCTACCCAATTCCTCTCTCTTTCTCCCTTACAAGAATATCAAAACTGTACAGTCTCTTCCTCTTTATCATTCCTGTGTCATTCTTGTATCTCCAGGTATCTTGCCAAGAAAGATATTCTCTTTTTACTGACTTAAACTCATTCTTCTAATTCTACTGATTCCAATCATGCTGTCATGGATTGAATTATGTCCCCCCAAAAATGTGTATATTAGTTTGGCTGGGCCATGATTCCTGGTTACTGTGTGATTTTCCTATATGTTGTAAATCCTGCCTCTACGATGTTAATGAGGGAGGATGGGTGGCAGTTGTGTTAGTAAAGCAGGACTGGATCTACAAGACTGGATTGTGTCCTGAGGCAATCTCTTGAGACATAAAAGACAGAAGTGAGCAGTGAGACAAGAGGACCTCATACCATCAAGAAAGCAGTGCCGGGAGCAGAGAGGGTCCTTTGGACCGGGGTCCCTGTGCCGAGAAGTTCCTAGTCTGGGGGAACACTGATGAGAAGGCCGAGAGAGAGAAAGCCTTCCCCTGGAGCTGATACCTTGAATTTGGACTTTTAGCCTACTTTGACTATGAGGAAATAAACTTCTCTTCATTAAAACCATCCACTTGTGGTATTTCTGTTGTAGCAGCACTAGATGACTAAGACACATACCATTTCTGCCAATTTGATCCATGGCATACATAGTAGATAATCTCCCTATTTCTTCCTATTTTAATTAAATAAATTCCCCTCCTGATTAAGAAAATGCATTACTAAGCACTCAATAAAAGCGCCAAAAATAGGGGGCTTTGTAAATGGTAAATTATGACTTTGAGAAGCCATAAGACTGACTACTTTTGCATATTTATAATATCAAATAGTACTTGTTTGCTATTAACTAAGGGGAATTTGGACGTGCTGTGACACATGCTTATAAGTGACAGAACACCGAGCTTCCAGATTGGGGGGTGGGTCTCCAAGGTTCTCAGATGAACTTCATTATGGCTCCTCACCACCTCTGTTACCTCCACAACAAAGGTCTTCCGACCCTTTCCATTCTACCAGCCCTTCTACCACAGAGGTCATGCTTGCATTTATTTTACAGTGTTTTATAAATGCAGACTTTTAATCATTTTCTGCTACTCTTCACCTGCATCTATATGGAATGGCTTAGCTAAACTGGCACATTAACCTTACGAGATGCAACAGACCAACTCAGGGCCCGATTAGACCGTTCAGGTACCACATTCATCTCTGCCTTAGGCCTGAATCATGTCTTTTTCTACTGACTTCTCTGAACTTTCTCAAAGTGAATAATTGTGAGTCTCTAGGAAGCTCAAGGACTTTTGGTCAAGGCTTTTTCCACGGTGCCATGATAGATGGAATACTGGGCTGTCTACTTAGATCACCTTATAATATAGCGTGAGCATCTCTGTGATTTCATTGTTCTCTTAAGACATTCACCCAGGCCTGGAAGAGGAGGCCAAGAAGGTTCAGAGTTTCAGAGAGTAAGGCAAAATCCATCCTCCCAACAACACAGATGGGTGAAGACACTTACATTGAAGTCATAGAGCACACCAAAGTTTGCTGCAGATGCCTCTTCAGCTCTGGGAACTGTTTTCCTAGGTAAACTGCCATATGGCAAACCCCAGAGGTACTATATGGAGAAGCAAAAAAAAGCAGTTAACAATTAGAAAACAAAATCTGAACCACACATGCGATCACAAATGGTTTTGTTTTAAAGGACTTCTGAAGCTTTTTCCTGAGGACTCTGTGGGCCTCCATGGGGGGTCCCATATTCTGGACATCGCCTACTAAAAGCAGAGTTAAGAACAAAGGGAGTGCTAAGGACCCTACATTCCAAGTTCAGCAGACCACCAGCAGTTGGGGCCAACCACATTCCCCAGAAGGCTTGCTGAGAGGCCCCACTACCTACCACCAGCTCCAAATTGGTCCAAATTAGAGGAAGTCTGGAAAGAAGAGAGGTGGCCTTTCAGGGGGCTACAGTGCTCAAGAAAACTATACTACCTACATCTTCATATATGAATACCTATTAGGTATGGTGTGGGGGGACACATATTCTTTCTCTAATGTCAAGAAGAGAGGACTCAAGAGAACCACTCATACTATTTGAGGGTGTTGACAAGGAGGGAAGGCAGTGCCTGATCAGGATATTTGCTTCACCACTAATTCAAGTTTGCTGCCCTGAACTTGTGCTACTAAATTAGGAAAGAAGTTTAT